GTTTTTTCAGATTTTCTGTCGCTTTCTCCGTATTTACGATTCTTTGCAGGCTTTAGCCACTACCTACAACGGTCTGGATCCTTCACTGGAAAACGAAAGTAACTCGCTTCCGATAAACGTTGACTCTTTGAACTCTTGCACCCGCGATCAACACAAGTCGACACCTCTTTTGGTGCTTTCAAGTCATGTTGGAAAGATCACAGAATGCGCATGAACGGCAACACAAAGTCATAAAAACCAGTGGGAAGCTCAGGATTTTCTTTGAGTCACGATCTGTACGAGTTCTGGCATTTCAGTGAGAAACATGGCGGAATACAACAATATTTATAGGTATTTAGCAAGCGGTGACATTGTCAGGCTTTTTTATTTTTACAAGAAAATTATCTACCTCCCTGCACAAAATTTGATCGCGTTGTAATACAACCATATGATGGAGTTTACAGTGGCTTCCTACATGAATTAAAAACATAAAAAAGCAAGACACACCTGATAAACATTCTTTGGTCTTCATTTTCTAGAAGTAAAGTTAAAAACCTTGCTGTATTTTTGTGTAGTTCATTAAAGGGTTAGTTCACCCCAAAATGAAAACTCTGTCAGTAATTACTCGCCCTCATGTTGTTCTAACCCCGTAAGACTTTCGTTCATCTTCGGAACACAAATTAAGATATTTTTTATTAAATCTGAGAGCTGGATCACTCCTCTATAGGCTTCTTAAGGGATCGAAACTGGCCGGCCCAAAAGTTATGAAAGACATCGTTAAAACAGTCCGAGTGACTACAGTGGCTCAACCTTAAGTTTATCAAGCGACGAGAATACTTTTTGTGCGCAAAAAACAAACAAAAATAACGACTTTATTCAACTATTCATTTCCTTCTCTGTGGGCCGTGAGATTTCACGTATGAAACTGCGCAGCGCTTCTGGTTGTACATCACAACACAGAAGCTTTGCGCAATATCACTACGTAAACTCACTCGAGGCCCACAGAGAAGGACATGAATAGTTGAATAAAGGCCTGTTCACACCGGGACGAATTTCGTGCGTGATATTCGCCGACGTTTAGCGCCTCGTGACTAAACAAAGGGCGCCAATGTGAGTGTGCACACCGACACGAAATACGCCACGCGTAAAAGCGTCATTTTTTAAAAAGCGCCTCGGGTTCGTTTTTTTGGTTTGACGCGCCGCGTCAAAAACTATCCGACCAATGAGATTGGTGCTTTTGCTCACGTGTCTGGAGCTTCTGAAGTTACAGTAAAACACAACTTGGGGGCGCTCAAACACAAAACGGTCTTGCCGAGCACACATACGTAACGGCGAAGAAGATATACGCCAAGTAGCGTCTACACTGCCGGGAAGAAATAATACAAGGAAGATGCAAGGCAAGATGAATGTAGAGCCGCTGGTCTCGTTGGTGTCGGAACATAAAGAACTATATGACAAACGCGACAGCGACTACAAAATAGGACTATTTCTGTTTTACATTAAGCGCCATCTAATGTCAGGGAATGAACTTGCATGTTCACTCGGCTCATCGTCAGCGAAAATCGCTTGGGTGTGAACACAAAAAACGTGTTGAAAAACGCTGACGAATAACGCACGCCGATATTCGTCCCGGTGTGTACGGGGCTTCAAGTCGTTCTTTTTGTTTGTGCACAAAAAGTATTCTCGTCGCTTGATAAACTTAAGGTTGAGCCACTGTAGTCCCTCTGACAATTTTAACAATGTCTTAAATAACTTTTGGGCCGGCCAGTTTCGATCCCTTAAAGGTTGTATCAGCGATTTCAGGCCCAAACATAAATGATCACATTCATCTAATCTTTCCTAACGATCCGCTAGCTGCCCGCCCCATAAGCAGGCTGTCAAAAAACACGTCTCTGTAGGCAGTCTAGGCTCTGAGATCTGCACACAAAAACAAATGGGTACAACCACCACTCAAAACCAAAATAAACAGAGTTCCAACCAATCACCGACAGGGGCGGGTTTTGTTTGTTTTTGCGCTCGTTCACGGCGCCTGCATGCCAAGTCAGAGCTGAAGAAGAAGCCAGCGCGTCTATCAACGGACCAGATACAGTGAACATGGAAGAGGCAATCCCCAAGAAGAGGAGGAGGATTAGGGCGAGGGAAAACCGTCGTTATTCGTTAAAGAAACAAATAATAATTGGGAAGGCTTTTGAACGGTGGAGAGAGCTTAAAGATTTGAAAAGTTTTCTGTCTCCTGCACTGTTTCTTCTGGACAGGTGAGTAGCTTCTAGTGCTGACTTTTTCAGATGTGAACTGTGTGTGAAAATATCCTTCTTTAGGAGTGAAGCTCGACTAAACTTGGATAGCTCTAGCGAATATCAGATTGTACGAAACGGGAGGGAGGGCCGAGCTAACTTGGTTTGTTTGGGATCTCGCTTCAAACACAAACAGAAGTGACGTCACCCACAATCGCTGATACAACCTTAAGAAGCCTATGGAGGAGTGATCCAGCTCTCAGATTTAATCGAAAATACCTTAATTTGTGTTCTGAAGATGAACGAAAGTCTTACGGGGTTGGAACAACATGAGGGTGAATAATTACTGACAGAATTTTCATTTTGGGGTGAACTATCCCTTTAAGAGAAGGTACACCACCATCTTGGTCCGACGAAAGTGACTTGAAAGCACCTGCCGTAAACACGACTTCCCAACTCGTAAATACCAACTTCCCAAGATGACTTGAATGCAGCAAAAGTTTGCTAAGAAGTATTTCCTACTAAAGCAAAGCTGTATTTGGCTCTGTTGGATGGCAACATGCCCAGTGCATTATGGGTAAGTTTTCCTACCTATTTAGCATATTTTCTCTAGTCAGCTAGCACAGATTTATCTGTACGGACCTTTCTACTGTATAGGCAGCCGGATGTTATCGAAAGCACATTTTGCCAGCGGTAAAGTTTCCCTTTAAGAAAAGCTGGAGTCTGCGGTGAGCAATGTTGCTTGCAAAACTACAAACAAATTATAGTGTATGAAGAAAAATCAAGATGCCTTATAGTCTTATTGATGTGTACCTAGAAGCAATAAGATGCAGAATATTTGAAAAACAATCAGCTTGAGACGTTAAGCGCAAACACACACTTCTAGAACGGGGATTGTGCGTTACCTGCGGGTGCTGTGAACTGTAATCTGGGAAAGATTGACATCCTGATCTAAATGTTGAAGAATTTTGCACCAGATGTCAAAAATTTCTATAGTTTTTTCCACTTTGGTCTTAGTAACTTTGTTTCTCCCAATAATGCATTGCTGCAGGGGACTGAACCTATAATTATCGCAGATATGATTTCCTCAACACCAGGTGCAAGTTATGAGAAATTATTCAGCTCAGCAAGAAGAACATTTTGATTTTTGCACTTTGTTTAAGCTCTGCACTTGATACCACAGTGATGATATAACCAGCAAGGAAACGTGCTCTAATATAACTAACCACAAAACATTACACTACAAAAAAACCAGCTAAAATACACAAGTTCTTTCTGTAATGGACCCTAATAATTATGTATTTAAATAGGGAACATTTTCTACATCCAAAATTATATTATAGCTACATTATATACACAACCGTTTAAAAGTAAACAACTCCGTCACAAAAACAAATATATATTATAAATAAACTATTCTTTCAAACTTTCTCTTCATCATAAAATCCTGAAAATCATATTTTCCTCAAAAATTTGATTTGATTTGATAATATGATTTCTGAAGGATCATGTGACACTGAAGCCTGGAGTAATGATGCTTTGATCACAGGAATACATTACATTTTAAAATATATTACAATGGAAAACAGTTATTTTGAATTGTAATAACATTTCACAATATTACTGTTTTTCCATATTTAATCAAATAAATTTGGACTTTTTTCAAAAACATTTAAAAAAAAGCTTACCAACCCTAAACTTTTGCACGGTCATGTATTATGAAATCATATTTCTATAATGTAGGTGATATGCATGAAAACACAATCAGGACTATTATTGCAAAGGAAGAAGTGCAATGTGTCACCAGGTTCCCTAATAGCACTCAACACACATTTTCATTTACATACTGATATTATTAACAACTGGAGGTCAGACGTTACAGCTCTGTTTGTGCAAGGATGGTTCCCTAGAGCTCCTCCGGGTCCAACGGTGTTATCAGAAGAAAATAAAGCAGAATTGGACATTTTTCAGCACTTGTGTTGTTTCATTTGGCTGGGTGAAGTGCCTTTGCTCTCAGGCAAATGTAATAGAATAAAACTGAATGTAGGGACATGAACTTTGGGAAACTTGCAGTCTCAGTAGTCAGCACATCTACTTTGAAAAACCCTGCTCGAAAGCAACACGCGTGCTAAGAAGGGAGGAGAACGAGTGCAGCTGTACCAATATTGCTCTCTGGGCATATTGCAATGAGGAAAACAACGACTTATCATAACAAAATAAACAATAATGCCACCCTATTCCCTCTGATATGAGTCATCTTACAAAAAATATTGCATTACTGTTCACACACACACACACACACACACGTCCACCCTCCACACACTCATCAGCGCAGGAGCTAGTGAACATCATCATCCTAAGAGGAGGAGAACTTTTATTTATTTAGTTATTTGGTTTGTGTGTGTGTGTGTGTGTGTGTGTGTGTGGCGGCATCCTTAATGTTCCCCTGGAGAGTGTGCGGGGCTTTTCCTGTGTTGTGAAGTGGAAAATGGCCTCTGTGTCTCAAGCTAATCAAAGTGCAGAAGAGGTAGAGAAGGGAGAGGAGATTACAAACAAGGCTTAGAGATGGCGGGGGAATCTCTGTAAAAAAAAAGAAGAAAACCAGATTTGGAGGATCTATAAATGCCTGAACAAAGGAAAAGAAAGGGTTTAAATGTAAAGCACGAATCGCTTCACAAAGAGGAAGTGTTTCTTCTTGAAATACTAAAAAAGGAGAGGAAGACGAAGATCCTTTCTTTCAGGTGTTGCTGTTGTTACAAAAGCGGCACTGCCACACTCTGACTGACCCCAGACCATTACGGTTATTATTGCTCAGTATTCCCTTGGTCGGGGAAGCGGGAGAGACCAAAAAGGAAGTGCGGTGGGCATTAGACCTATCGGCAAGGGTCTTTTGGGCCCTGATGCATTGTTGGAAATGTCAACGTTCTGAGGATTGGTGGAGGGACTACAAAACAATGTTTGTACCAAACCTCCCGTGCCAGTGTTGGCGGATCGTGGCGTGTCCGTGCAAACGAAGCGTTTCTTCTCCTGCCGCTAGGATGCTGTGGGGACGGGAAGCACTTTTTCTTTCTTGCCGTTTTTATGGACGGGCGAGTCTGAGGTTTTGGCTGTTTTCCTAGGCGGGCTTTGCTGAGCAACCTCATGTAGCGACGGCTCCCTGTACATGGCAACTGGAGAGACAGGAGAAAAACAGAGACTCTTAAAGGGACAGTTCACCCTGAAATGAAAAGTCTGTCAACATTTTACCACCGGTAACGTGAGGGTAACGTGAGTTAAAGGGTTAGTTCACCCAAAAATGATGTCATTAATGACTCGCCCTCATGTCGTCCCAAGCCCGTAAGACCTCCGTTCATCTTCGGGACACAGTTTAAGATATTTTAGATTAAGTCCGAGAGCTTTCTGTCCCTCCATTGAAATGTCCTTTCTGGACAAGGACAGTATACCGTACATACATTTCCAATGGAGGGACAGAAAGCTCTCGGACTAAATCTAAAATATCTTAAACTGTGTCCCGAAGATGAACGGAGGTCTTACGGGCTTGGGACGACATGAGGGAGAGTCATTAATGACATCATTTTCATTTTTGGGTGAACTAACCCTTTAAGTAATCAGATTACTTTTTTCAAGTAACAAGTGAAATAACACATTTTTTAAATAAGTAACGGAAGTTACTTTGTTTTTGACAGCTCTCCTGTCCTCGTGTTGAGAGAAATCATGAGTAAGTGTAGAGGCGTTGTGTGTGAACACATGATGGTTACTGTAGAATAATGTGAGCATCTCACTGGTCCAAAAATACAAAACTTGCACAAAAACAGTATTTCTCAAAATGATTAAAAATACGTTAAATGTAAGCCTACTTTATGTATTTTATCTCACTTTGCAATGTCTTTGCTGCTGACCTTCGATGATCCAATTCATACGGAGCCGCTAAAGGGACATGGTGCTGGAAAAAATATGAGATAGGACGGGAGGGAAAACATATATTTCAACGCAAAGTTTTGTGTTCTCCTGAGAAACTTTGCGTTCGCTTGCAAAACTTTCTTCAGGGAACGGAAAGGATTTACGAGCAAAATCCTAGTTTGTCGGGGAACGCAAAACTTTTGCGAGAGAATGCAAAATCATTGAAATATAGTTTTCCCCTTTTTCCCATCACCATGTCCCTTTAGGAACTAAATTCAACCACTCTAAAAAATGCTGGGTTGTTTTAACCCAAATTTGGGTCAAATATGAACAAACCCAATTGTTGGGTTAAAAATATCATTTAAAAATGTAACCCAACGACTGGGTTAGTCCATATTTGACCCAAATTAGGGTTAAAACAACCCTGCATTTTTTAAAGTGTACCAATAAGCAAAAATAACTTTAGATAAACATCAAATTTGTGTTTAATTTTTTATTGAAATATAGTTTTTCCCTTTTTCCCATCACCATGTCCCTTTAGGAACTAAATTCAACCACTCTAAAAAATGCTGGGTTGTTTTAACCCAAATTTGGGTCAAATATGAACAAACCCAATTGTTGGGTTAAAAATATCATTTAAAAATGTAACCCAACGACTGGGTTTGTCCATGTTTGACCCAAATTAGGGGTAAAACAACCCTGCATTTTTTAGAGTGGCAAAAATGACTTTAGATAAACATCAAATTTGTGTTTAATTTTTTTGTTTTTATTGCTGAAGTAAGAGGCTGCACCCGAAATCACATACTTCCCTCCTATATAGTAGGCGATAAACAGTATGTATCAAGAGCAGTGTGTCCGAACTCACAGTACTCGTAAATGAATAGGCAAAACGTCCCAGGATGACCAACTACTTCCGGTGAGATTCTGAAGTGTGCATTTGATGGGCACTTTACTGTCCCATGAGGCCACGGGAGAGGGTTTGTGAAGTGACACAACTGACGCTGGTAGATCACATGACAATGACAACATGGCAAATGTAGTACGTCCAGATTACATTCATACTATATAGAGCGTACTTTTTTTTTAGCGGTTGTAACTTACCAGTAATGACTTATTTTAAATAAGCACCTACTCAAGAGAGTATGCGATTTCGGATGCAGCCATTGTGTCCAAAATGGCAGCACAGCTGAAAGGTTTGTTTGAGCTGCACTCTTTACAGTACAACAACATAACAGATTACTTTCCATTCAAAAAAATGACCTTAGTAACATAATTAGTTCAGAGTTTAACGATAAGGGGCCATCGTAAATGTTGCTGGCAGTTGACGCTCTCACTGTCACTTAGATCTAGCCGTTTTTAAGGCCTCGTTGTATGCAATAACACTTTCCTTCCACGAAATACGAAATAGCTCTAGTTTTGTTTTCTTTGTTTTGGTCGTTATACCACGGTGTCTGACTATTTCCCTTAACCTTCTTTAAGTGCAAAGGAGCAACCGTGCACATTACAATTTTATCATTTGCATACGTTTTTTAAGCCTTGCCAATTTAAATATTCAAGTGCAAGAAGACGCGAAAGAGAAGTTTTGTGTGCGCACACACACCCGAAAATTGAGCTCTCTTTCACGTCTGCTTGCACTTGAACGGACATATCCACACAAAAGTTTGCAAAAGTGCTGGTCTCGGCGAGTATCCTTGTAAAAATAATCTGTTATGTCTTAAGTGAACATAAACAGTTGAGAAAGAAAACACATGTTTATCAGTATACTGGATCCATGCAGCTCTTAAAGTGACAGCGGCCTAATAAATCTGCTGCTGTCTTTGTTTAAATGATTATCAAACAATCGGACTGAATAACTCTTGTAACTTTAACAAGGATTCATCTATATTTAATTTATACAGACTATGCAGTGCTATTTTACATTTGATTATTCATTTTCTCTACCTGAACATTACTGTTAGACTGTTAACATGAAAAGCAGTGATTATTTGATTTATATGTTTGTTCTATTGTATTTGTGCTATTGCTCGTAATTTGATTATTTGTTCTTATTTTATTACCAACAATTGACTTGTCGTTGACAATATTTGAAATTTATATGAGTTAGGCTAGTAGTTTTTGGTGTCACAATAACTAGGCCTGTTTTATTTGTTTTATTTATGTATTACTTTTTTGTGGTGGGCAAAATTTTGGCATGGCAAGTAACGTAAAAAGCACTGCATTTAATTTGCAAATCATCATATTATACTGATTTCTGAAGGATCATGTGACACTGAAGACTGGAGTAATGATGCTGAAAATACAGCTTTGATCACAGGAATAAATTATATTTAAAAAAATATTAAAATAGAAAAATTTAGATTGTAATAATATTTCACACTATTTTCACAATGCTTTTACTGTATTTTTTTTTTCATCAAATAAATGCAGCTTTATTGAGAATAAAAAAAAAATAAAAAAATCGTACTGACCCAAAACTTTTAAATGGTATCAACAAATGACAAATAATCTAATATGATAAACAGAGACGTACCCTCTATGAGCTTGGGCAGGAAGTGAGCCGCTCCTTTGGTCTTTTTGACCCGATTTCCTTTCATGACCTGTCCGTCCCGGTTAATGCCAATGTACCAGGCCCGACCCGACTGCGTTTGGCGGTACAAGATCGAGGAGTATGTCACATAATAGTTCTCAAATACACACTCCTTAAACTTACACTCAGGCGTGAAATGTTCCTGTAACAGAGATACACAGATAGTGAGTTAACCAGAATGACAGACTGTATATAGTATATAGCATATATATTGAGTTCAGCCGGGACGGGAGGAAAACGGGCCTTGCATTTCACTGTGACAGAACTGTGAAAGCATTAGTGTCCAGAGGAACCGTAAATCAGGAAAGCGAAACCCCCCACACACTTTATTATTACACATTTATCGACCACATGTGTTCTGTTCAGCGTAATCCCAAACTCACCCAAATTCCCAGACTCTCTTCATCCCGGCTGGAGATAGCAGCCTGTCAGTAAGCAAAGACCAACATCTCTCTCTCTCTCTCTCTCTCTCTCTCTCTCTCTCTCTCTCTCTCTCTCTCTCTCTCTCTCTCTCTCTCTCTCTCTCTCTCTCTCTCTCTCTCTCTCTCTCTCTCTCTCTCTCTCTCTCTCTCTCTCTCTCTCTCTCTCTCTCTCTCTCTCTCTCTCTCTCTCTACCACCCTGTCATTTCGTAACCTTGTCAGGGAACAAACCAATTTCCAGGATTGATTGGGATCCTTGGTGTGACTGGTGAGCAGAGCAGCTGAATAAGGGGTTTACTCCTCTTCCTCTCTCTCGTGCTCTATGTTTTTGTTTTGAAACACTCCCCTCTGTCACCAAAGTATAATCGAGCCTTCTTCATAAAATATATTCATAATTGCATATCTGTAATTAAATTGTGGCCATTCAGGCTTTTGATCTTCATCATGGTTTTGATAGTCTTAAAGTGTGCTATCAAAGAAATGCTTGTTATGAATAATAATTATTATTATTATGAAATATGAATATGAAGTATTTTAAGCACAATAAGTTTAAAATAATGTAAAATATATTTTTTAACATTCATCAAGGCTTGAACTGCAAACCCCATTCAGAGTAAAGAGCTCAAAGTTAAAGTCTATGGGAACTTTAATTATTTAATCACCAAATTTAATTGAACTGGCGCTTTCAGCTGAAGATGATTGAGTCTGAAGGCATTAGTGTGCCGAGGAACAGTAAAGGAGGAAGACGAAACCCCACACACTTTCTTATTACGCATTTATTGACCACATGTGTTCTGTTCAGGTGCACATACAGTAATCTTTGCCACAATCCACAACACTGCACCTAACAGAAGATATATATACATTTTTTAAATATTTAGACCCTTCTATTGATATCAGGACAGGTTGATATCAATATGCCGATTGATATCAGGCTGAGAAGAGAGTTTCAACCAGGATAACAACCAGTATTTATGTAAACCATTGCATAGCCTATCTTTAAGGGGTCCCAGTTCTCCTCCATAAAGGAGAGGAGCGTTCGGTTGACCTCTGATGTTTTTGACCTCCCGCCTGCAGTTCTCTCGTTCGCCAGCAGGTGTCAGAGCAGCACATGAGGCTCAGTGTGAGTGTCTTCATCTGCTCACACACTTTCACTGGACCACAACACAGTCTCCCGCACTCCCCCCCCCCCCCCCCTCTCCCATGCCCTTTTAATCTAGGATTGTGTGATTTAGGGAAATCTGACTATTACAGAAGGATTTTTTCTGACATGTTATGTTGCATAAAGTTAATGAAGATGCAGGATGCTGGAGAATCTGCCGAATCCTCTGAACGCACAAAAATCTCCTAGCAATCAGCAGAGGACTGGCATCCTGACAGGAGAGACGCCTCATCAGCCTCTTACACGGGCACTATATACACAGACATTTAAAGGGATAGTTCACACGGAAATGAATATAACTCGTGTCGCTCCAAACGTGCACACCTTTGCTTTTCAATGGAAGGAGGAATTTAAAAAAAACTTCATGCATCTCAGACTTTTAATATAGTTACAAACAGTATAGATGACTCGTCTTGTCCATTTTTAAGCTTGACTGATAAGATCACTATGAACTGTAGTTGAATACAAAAAGATCTCAATATATAAACAATAAAACAACAAAGGGGTTATTTATTTAGAAATAAATACATATTTAGTCTCGCTGTATATTTTGCATTTATTTCGATCAAAAATGATATTTTTGCTCCTATTATTTAGCTTACATCAGTGAGGGCCAGTTGAACCATATATTGCATATCCTAATAAGTGGTGACAATTGATTTATTTTATAAAGCCAATATTTACTCACATTTGACTTTTATTGCGAGTGTTAATTGTGGAGCCGAGAGTAAAGAAAGGGAACCAAAAAAATGTCCCCATAAAGACAAGGGTTTCAACATTGCCATCTTTGCGGAGACATTTGGTCCCGATAATGTAGGGTTTACACACACACACACACACACTCTTCTTGCTTTTACATTAACTTTTCACTGCTATGGCCGTAAAATCTGTAGTACAGGTGAATTGATTTCATGTACGTAAGACCGCAGCAAAATGAGAAAATGAGAATTTCCTCTAAAAAAGGCGATATAAGACTTTGATTTCGCCTGATTGATGTGTGCACTGGTATGAGGCGATCCAAAAACTGCTTACTAAGAACGTGTTTAACACACCAGTGAGC